TCGAATCATTTAACCAGGTCGGATGGTGTCTGACTATTATAATAACGTAAATCTATCAGGTAATAGTTGTGGTTTTTTGATAGTTGTGCCGCTGTGTCCATACATGAGATGATTCATACCAAATTTTGCGCAAGTCAACTGAAGAAATCATTGCCGATCAATTGGAAAGACGAGCATCAGAAGGATATCCCGACTACTCTGCTGATGCGCAACCGTTCAGGGTCAAAAGCGATGCAAGTCAAAAAGCTGAGGAGAGCTATTTAACTCAAATGCAATTAAAGGATGGAAAGGTGGAGGAGGTTACGTTAGGCTACTATTCATGAGCGTTCAAAAAGCACGAGCTTCCCTGACAGATATCCGAGAAGGAAGCACTGAGTATGGTCTGGGCGTACGCCCAAGCAGTTCACCATTTTGTCCACGGGAGGCTATCCGAGTGTTGAATGGATTATAAGCCAAATATATCTATGACGAGGAAGAAAATGCGCAACGAACGACTTCTGCGATGGGCCTTAAAGCTACAGCATTACCGAATGGATATGATGTACAAATCAAAACAATCTCATGTTCCAGCAGATGCACTTTCTAGGTTACGGTACTTGCAAGACGCCTGTACGCCCAAGGAATGGGCTGAGGTCGATATATCACGTATAAGCATGACCATGCCCAGTGTCAACTGCATATCACATGCTGGACCACAAATTGCCGCAACCAAGCAGTTGCAAAGAGAGGACGATACTTTGATGCCACTGATTCGATGCTTGGAAGATAGTCAACAACATTCATCGGACTCGACCAAACAACAAGCAACTCGACTCGAATACACCGTGAAACAGAAAGAACACCTCGCATCCTTCCTTGGGAGAAAACACCCCGGTCTGATGACGACATATTGGATGAGAGTACTATAAGTTACACAGGACAAGTTGCCTCTTGATAAGGATATCAGCGCTGGAGTATCACGGCGCAGAGTGAAAAGGGTACCAACTAGTTACGCGAAGGCTTTAATTAACCTGTGGGATTCAATTATGATTTGAGTAAAAAAAACTAAGAGTTAATCGATGAGATTGTTTCAGATGCATCTTCATACAAATTATACAAAAATCTCAGTAGTAGTATGAAGGACTGGAAAACTTAAGCTATGGATAGGATAGCCATAAATATCTTAAAATTACTGAGTTGTTGACGGAAGCCGAGGCGGTGTATGATAAAATACACTTCGCGCGCGGGAACGACGCAAGAATTTGCTGTCAGACTTTCAATACAGGGAGATTTCAGATGGGAAAGACATTGTAGCAGATAAGGAACTTGGCTTATGATTCTTGATTTCACATTGGGGGCATATTCAAAAACGAAGATTGGTAGAATTGCGACCAGGAAAACAACAACAACTGCGTAATCCAGACCAACAATTGAACTGGTCCTTGACAATTTTTTAATATGATCCTCCCGACCAGACAGCAAGAACAATAAAACAAGAGAAAAATAAAAATAAAAATTGTATTAGCTAGTTGGGCCAGCCAAGGCTGTGGTAGACGCGAGATCATTTGTCTCGTAGTGATTTGACACTATCTCATGGTCGAGACCTATAAAAGCATTATCAATAAAAGTTCGTACGGCTACAATTAAATCCGTGAGATTCTCTGTTAATTTCTTTAAATCGTGAGACCAGACATTTATCAGTAGCTTTTTAACTGTACAGCTGGGTCCTTAAGTACACTAAGCAACTTCATCTCCATCAGTGCGCCCTGGTTGTGCGTTCGGAACAGATGGTTAGCCACGGAACCAGGCGTACCGGTGGCCGTGCTGGTGCCGGGGTGACAGGGCGTTCTGGTGGTTGCGGTAAATAATCCAAAGCTATTCGCCCACGCGGCCGGGCCACCTCGTGCTCCATCCATTGCATTTGTTCCTGTGCACAGAGCGTCTGCGCGGCGGCGTACTCATTCCGCTCTCTCGGCTCCTCGCAGCGATCTCAGCGGGCCATGTTAATTTGCCGTTTGTCTGCTGCGGACACTGCGACGGGCAGCTCGCTAACCGGAACGTAACACCGCGGTTTATATACGGGCTTGTGCAACATGTGGCGTTCGTGGGCTCCCAGAAACTCTTCGTACGGCTCCATCGAAAGTCTCGGTGAACATCATGCGTGGCCAAGGTAGCTAACACCCACTTGTCGCCCTCTCTTGTGAATGGTCCAACAAGGAGGCGGTCGTCCGCCGCTGCCTTGGAGCATCGATCAAGCCAGCGTGAAGTCTTGGTCGGCTTAAATTGATGGTAGCTGTCCTTCATCAAGGTGTTTCGTAAATTTGTACGGTCCCTTGCTGGGGTTGGGTTAGTCCTAGGGCGTCGGCTATGGAAGAGGCTGAGGTCCCTGGGCCGTGAGCTGAAAGAGGGCATGTCCAGTTGAGGCAATCAGGCAGGTAGCGGCATCGGCTGGGGTTGGAACGGCACAAGCATCGAAAGCCCTGGTTGGGCAGCCTGGAGCATACTAATTCGAGGCGCAAAACCTGGTGCCGCAGGGACTCGATTCGGGCGGAGCTCCTGGTCCCGCCGGTGAAAACATTTCACCGCTAGCTTCGACGCTTCGCCAAGGCGTGCTTAGCCTTCAGATTCGTGAACCGAGTCAGTTCAAAGGCGGGGCGAGAAGGCAATCAAACCAGGGGAAACGTACTGGTGAGGAGGAATACAGCTGGACCATAGTTGGCAATCAGATACCGGATGATCTCCACCACCGTCACGCCAGCATTCATATTCATACGGACTTCGAGAACCAGTCGCTCCTCCAGATTCGTCAGTAGGAGGTTCGTCTGGGCAAAGAAAGTCGATGTTGTTTCCTGCGTCGGGTAATCACGGCCGTTGTGTTTGGGACCGATCTTGTCTACATTCAATATTTGTAAAATTTCATCCTGGTGTCTTACAAGAGAATCGAGTAACATATCAAGTGCAGCCCCTAACAAGTAGATACAATAGCGAAAAAGTAGACAAGCGGCATCTTGGAGCACTTGCAAACGTGACAAAGCAGCAGCGCGAACAAGTCGAACGAATCGATGGAGTGCAGTTGTGGACAGAATATATATATGGAACCACTTGTAACAGTGACAAACCAGCACGCAAACAAGTCGATGGAGAACAATTTGTAGGCGGACCACATTAAAGCGCGCTTGTAACAGTGGCCGAACATCATCACCATATAATCAGATATGTCAAATATTATTTATATAATATAGTAATTCTTTAAGCACTCACGATCAATTGATTCTATCTGGCCCAAGACATAGAAAGTATTGGGATATTTCAATCATACATGTTTGTATAAAAGTAGTATTCTGTCATCTTGTCAAATAACTAGCGTACACATGCTGCTCATGTTCACAGAAAGCGACTATGACACAATAATTATCAAATGCCTGAACATCTGCAGTCGCAATTTACGCAAGAGCTTAAAGTACTTAATGGAAGGGATTGTACTCACCCTCTCACCAGAGTTCACTAAAAGCCTGGGATTCGAACTTTCATACCCGAGCTATCCATAACACTAGTCTATTAAAAATGATACAGCATATGCTACTAATATAAACTCAATTGTTCAGTTGCCGACGTGATTTTCGTAATTATAGAACCACTACCATTTAAGGTATAGGTAGTCTTATCTCAGCCTTTTTGTTGATATGTCGGGTTGCATATCCCGCTGTTGTGTCCAAACCGGGATGCTCAGCACATTACGAAATGCTGGCTAATATAGATCGGCACAAAAGTATCAGTTGCAGCAGAGGAAATTGTGTCTGCTGTGGTGGGATTGTGATTTTTCCAGAGGTCGAAAGCAGGATTCGAATTTCTTCCAGCAATTCTCTGTTAGTCCTCATTCGAAACTAAAAGACACAAGGACATACGAAAGTCCCGAGTAGAAAAAAATGTTTCATTGTATGCCCATTTCAGTCCGTACATGGTGATTCAACTTTCATTATCCGAAGTTGTTCCCAACCCTTTCTGCAGTAGAAATAAGAATGCAGAAGCATATAATGTGAAAGTAATATTTGTTCACTACTTTGATTTTTCCTTGCAAAAGCTGATTACCAGTACCCGACCCTGAAGTATAACAATAGAGATACCCAAACCGATTTGCGGACTTTGGTATGTATGATTTGCTTGGTCTTTAGCGAATACTGTACAGTAGAGTCTCGAGAATTTTCACGAATGTGGTGACTATTAGGCGAGATCGATCAGCACGCCCCTGATTATTGTTTCTCTAGATTACAATCGAAATTATTATGAATCTACCCAGATCGTTACACCTCTCAGTCAATCAAGGTTTGAGCTGCTGATATATACTTCGCCATCAAAATCTTCACTCTTCAATGTATTAAATGTGATATTAAAGTATAGTTTTATTGAAAAATTAGTCGCCGGAAATATATTGGCGGCATGCATTGTGCGACCAACAAACAAAACTAGGGTTCACATCGACAATTTGAGGGTCGGAACCTCGAATTGAATTTAAAATATTAATACTCGTGCAGCGCCAGAAATTAACATCTTTATAGATGGAAAGAAAAGGACATCCGAATTTAAAGGCAATTATGACACTAAATCCATCACTCAAAAAACATGTACCATGTAAAATCAGTCAGTTATATCAGGAGGTCATTCAATATATGTGTATGATAGTCAACTTCTATAATCGAATTTGATTTCACATGCCTGCTAATTTATGCAATAATGCCGATGATTCGAATATGCACGTACAACAGGCCCACACAGACCGCGAACATCGATATAGTATGTTGCACGTGAAAGTTCCCTTACATACACAATGCGCGCGATTTTTCACTTGATATTTATAAATTATACAAATGTTTTGTTATCCAACAAGTGCGTATCTTTGAACCACAAATAGGATGTCCTTTAAATATGCGACTGTATTCGAGACTTGACTACAATACATTCACACAGAACTAAACACATTGGCTTACACAACACTCTGGCACGACTGTAACAACATTTCACGGGAATTTAATCAAACCGCATGGCAGTGGATGTTCAGGTGCCGAGAAAACCTATACGGCTACTAGTAGTGTATTTTTTTTTGACATACAAAGGATGTGGCTCATACAGATATATAGCAAAGTACGACCGGTTTATATCGACTGAGCTGTTTCTAATACCTTTTCGGTATGTGTATTCAATGGACTGCCGTTTGTCACAAGTTCAACATTTATGGCATACGCATGAAAGGTAACGCAGGCGATATTCTCTGCTATTCGGTTTATACGATCCACTGTATAGTTTTATCAGACTATAGAGTAAGGTTGGTATTTAATAACAACCATCCGTTTGCATAGACGTATTACCAGATGCAGAACCCTATAAATACATCCAGAGGTGAGTTATGAAATTCACAATTATATGAATATGAATATTATAGATGATCCATAGAAGGCTGAATACAAACATATAAAGTCTAGAATAGACATACATAAATTACCACAGTTTGAACGCATATCATATCGTCTCTTAGATACATAGTGTACGCTTAGACCTGATGTTTTAATAAAGAATATAGCACACACACAACAGACACACAAACATATATATATATATATATATACGTACATACATATATGCAAATATATATATATATATATATATATGTTTATTTATATATATATGTATATATATATATATATATATATATGTTTATATATATATATATATATATGTATATGTATATATGTATATGTATATATGTATATATGTATATATATATAAATATATATATATATAAGCCTGCATCGTGTACTATGCAGCAGCAGACGGAAACGACATAGAAGGAGTCACCAATTCCGCCGTGTATATAGACGTTAGTAGTGCAAGCCATGGGTGACAGTGATTGCTGCGTACTAGAAGTACAATGTCAAGTTGTCGATTGGTAAGTCGTACTTTGGTATAAGAAGCAAACGGTTGATAGCGGTTCGGCGATGGGTGGATGAAGTTGGCGCGGCAATTGATGTTGATCAGCTTGCCTCTATCCTTCGCATGCCTCTGTGGTCAATCAAGACCTGTAGCGTTTCCTATATCACACAGTGAGATATTGGCGACACACACACATATATATATATCCACACAAACACACGTAAGTACATATAAATATATACATATATATATATATATATAATATACACACATATATATATATGTATATAAATATATATATATATGATATATATATATAACTAGACATAT